TCTTTTTTAACAGTGCACATGTTTAGAAGTGCATTTTCAAATGTACTTTCAAGGAAAAACATGTCAACATCTTTATAAGAGATTAAATTCTTTCATTACACCTAATTTTATTTTATTTATCGAAGCCTGGGGCTGAGGTGGTCTATCCTGGCAATGTATAAAGGATTTGTTGGGGGGTGGAAGGAGTATGTGCAGTTTCTGTAAAGGGAAAACAACGTTTTCTGTGTTGAATATTTTTTACGTGATGGCGGTAATTCTAACAACTGAGTTGGAAATAGTATGATGGCACTTGAGCTTTGCAAGACAAGAAGTGTTTGGTAGATGCTTTGTAGAGCAAGCTTTTCCAGTCAGCTTGTGCAAGGAAGGAACAGTGGCTTTTCTGCTGAAAGGAAAAATTATTAAAATAGGAGAATTTTAGTTGCAAACATTTTTTAGGCAGGAAATTGTTTAGCATTTGAAGTTTCTCGCATAACTTTATATAAAAACATTTTAAACTTAATTTGTTTGATATTAATGCCCTAATTCAGAAAACATTTTTTCTACTAACGGAATGGGTTTATTTTTAGCCTGTGTGTAGGTCCTTTGGCAGGATCGCTTAAGAGTTACTTAAAAATGCATAATTTATTTTTTTTTTCAAGTTGTTTAAGACAACAACAAGCTAGTGACAGATGCTTAATAGCAATTGCAGTGCTTTTGTTTGGAGACCTTTATAAAGGAACAAGTCCAAAACATTGTATTAAAAAAGATTGCAAATTGGATGCCAAGTGGACCTGTATTTCCACTGCTGGTCACAGTGTGTACACCGGGCAGGCACAGGTTGGTTTGCATAACCTTCCTCACGCTGTGTGTCCTTCAATCTTTATGCCTGACTGGGACACTTAGGAAAATTACCTTTTGAGAAAATAGAGTAATTGTCTCTCTGTACTTACCGAATTATATCTGGGCTTCATTAGAAGAACTGGAACTGTGGTAGCGCTTTCTGTGATGTAGGCGTTATCCATGTAGGAGTTCAAATAAAATGTTGTTACTCCTAATGTTACCTTATGGCTGGCCAACAGCCTTCACCCGTGTTCTCCTCTGTCCCTGAGGTAAAAAGAACAGTTTCTTTCTAGCAGTGAAAGATGAAGTCCAAGAACTAGATTCAAAAAAGATCATAGGTGCCTGTTCATGCTTCATTTTGATCACCCATATCCAAAAATAAAACTGCCCAGCAGCGAGCTTTGGGTGCACCTCTGTTCATCAGGTGCTTCAGTTTTCCCAGTTGTCTGACATTGCCCTCCTCTATTGGAGAGGATGCCGAGTCTGAAGGATGTATAGGAGAAAGGTGTAGAGGCGAGGCTGGGACCGTATCTCACTTGCCCAGCTGGCTGGCTTATCTACTGATCTGCAGCCGGGCTGCGACTGACCTGGTACGTTTGGGTAGTTTATGCAGTGGGCTGGCAGAACTGGCAACGAATTTCTCCCATCCAAGAAAGCAGGTTTGTTTATTACCTGTATGGATGTTTGAATCCTCTCAGACAAAAGAGAGACTGGAACATAGTTGCCCTACAACTTAAGCTAGTTTTTACGCTAATCTAATAGAGAAGAAGAGGGGACCATGTTCCTTTTACAGTTTGTGTGTGTGTGTGCAGATCTCTAAGGATCCCGTCTGTCTTCTGTAAGGAAAGCTCTCGCTTCTGTCACTTCTGTCATTGCTCAGAAAACACAGCTTCCAGATCCTTAGTTAGAAGGCATGTCCTCACATATAATTCTGTTAACTTGCTCAGGAGAAAGTGTGGGTTTTAAAATACCTTGTACTGAACAATTCTTTTTGACTAGCACTAAGCACAAGGTAAATATCTGTGCAACGATCTTGGCTTTTGTGAATCCCACTTTGAAGCCCTGCTGCACTTCCCAAGCGTTGGGAAGGAAGTGCCTGGTTTTTATCCAGAGTTCGGGATTCCACTGTGGTCACACAGGTGAATTTTAAATTGAAACTTCCAACCCATACCAGCTTAGGCAGAACTTCAGTCCATTGACGTGAAGTCTTCGTTCTGCAAAAAGTGGTTGTATTACCTTTCAGACACATGCCTTTTGACATGGTTTACTGGTAGTCATTCATATAAGTAAACATGAGGAGTTTCACTTCTTCAAGTACAATTCCATACACCTGTATGTTAGCTGCTGTTTCTCTAGGTCATCACTAACCTTGAATTGTTCTACCATTTTAAAAGTTGTGGGATTAATTTAGTATAGAAAATCTTTCATTAAAGTTATTGAAATAATACTGACACCTTTCATGACAGAAGACGTGTTTTCAAGTACTGTTGAGAGCAAACTTGTTTAAAAATTGCTTCATATTCAGATAGTCGTCTTCATCACTTTCTTTCAGATCGCCTTTGTAATCAGGAAGTCCACAAGTATGTGATATTTGTATGATAAATTTTAATCTGTCTTTATATAGTAGGGCCCCTCAGGTTATATATAATTTTCTTTTCGTTTGCATTGTGCTAGAGACCTTGGAATTTAAAGGTCAGTGTAAAGCACAGTATGTTGGCTGAAGGAGCCCATGCAATTTTAATACTGCTTAGCAGGCTGGTGAAAAGAGCAGTCTTTAACAGTACGCATGTTCTGTGGGAGTTACTGGTTTGTGAACTGCAGACATTGAAGAAAGAATACCAGTGGACTGGAAGGTTGTTAAAGCTTAATGATATCCTGCAGTTAGATAAATGCCAAAGCAAACCGACCATGCTTATTTTCAAGCTAGGATAAATTGATTTTGCGATAATTTTTTACTTGATGAATTATAAATAATATCTTGTGTCAATATGATTATTTTCTCCTGCTATTCATGTAACAGCTTGTCTGTAGTAACTTTTCAGTGCAACTCACTTCTGCCTGAGAAAAGTTTGTGCGTAAGGAGCAAGTATCTAGTAATGAAATGTAGTTAAAAACCTGTCTTCTGTGCGGGTGGCTTTTTGTCCGTCCGTCCTCCCCCAATTAAATACAGCATTAAACAGCCTCAAAATAACATTATATTAGGGGAGTGGGTTGGTTGTTTGGGTTTCTTAAGAGATGCTCTCAGGGTATCTAGGGACTAGCATTCTGCCATTGGTGTTGGATGTAAGCTTAAACCTAAAACCCACCATTAAAATTTGTTCAGATTTTATGAAATATGCACATTGCAAATGTCAGCATATTGTAATGCAGAAGTAAAATGAAAATTGCCTAGAGAATTTTAATTGCTGAGAAGTTGTGACACGTGGAAAATAAGCTTAGAAATCACTTTTTTCTTCTTTTAATAATCTGATGTGGAGTGATAGAAGTGCCCACACCAATATAGGTTTCTCTCCCCTCTAATTTTATTGCATCTTTTTCTTTCCTTTTCTTGCAGAATAATAGAATGTATTGTTTGATATAAAGTACTATTGTTCAGTCTGTCTTCCAGCTCTTAATGAGGTATCTTTGCAGGGAAGCAAGATAACTTAAAAGAAATGTAATCCTCCATTTCATGAAATGACACGCTTTGAACTGTTTTTGATGTGTGTGTCTGATCTTTCCAGCCAAGCTCAGTTTGACCTAGTTAAACTTACTTTGTCAACTTAGAATTCTAAAACACTCTTACCTGCCCTGATTAAAACAACTACAGCATCTTCAGTTTGGCTGCAAGGCTCCCCATGAATGCTACCTTACTGATACATATCTAGTTTGTTTTGTTGAAGTTACTACCTATGATGTAATACTTCATGGGAACTGAAATTGTATTGATAGTGCTTTGGGTGTGTTTACTAGAAATTCAGCTGAGATAACCAGCGTTAATACATTAAGCAGTGGCAACCGCTAACTGGACCGTGTCTGAAGTAGTGGAGGCTGGTATAGAAGAGCTTTCTCTTACCTTACTCATCCAGTGTCGTGCTACAGAGGGCAAAACCACTTTGATTTGCTGTCTCTTAAGTGTTTTGGTTTACTTTTTTGTGCTGACATGTTGAATAGCATTTTGTTTTTGGAAGGAGATGATGGAAACTGATCCATAGCAATTGTTATCTTGCATGAATGGGGTATTCTCCTGTGGTGCTGTGTAATGAAAAATCTCATTATTTGTTTAATAATGAGAATGCAGGAAGGGGAGAACATGTCTCCTGATGAGTGTATTGAGGAAACAATTAAACTGATCCCCTAAATTCTGCCTTGTTATTCCCATTTCCTTTTTTCAGAGGAAGTCCCCATTTTGTGCTTTTCATATGCTGGAATTAGGCAAAGAGTAGCTTTTAGAAAAACTACAGTAAATGTCACTGAGCTATGCCTGTCTGGTTCTTCCCTTCTAGGGGTGTTTTTTTGTGGTTGTTTCTATTCCCCGTATGTCCTTCTCCTACCTATATGTGCCATCTAGTTCATTTACATAGATGTGCAGGAAAAAATACAATTCCATGGAAGTCCACTATAAACTCCAAAGTTTAATACAGCGGAATTGTAGTGAATCTTGTAATTTAAAATAAAGAAGTGTGGATTCAATTCACTTTCTCCCTAGTACTTCCTGTGATTACTGATTTTGAGATATGACCAGAAATCAAGTGTAATGTTTTGGGGATACTGTAAGGGAACGTGGTTTATTAGTGGATAGAGATGTTGCTTTTCTTTCAGACAGTCTGAAACAGTGCTGTATCAGAACAGAATAGGTCCAGCTTCCTTCTTTTGTCAACTGAATGTGTCTATATCTGTGACAGAAACCGTACAAGATCTGCCAGGTAATGGGAGAATCTAATATGTACAAAACCAAGACAGTTGATACTGCCATCCTTTATGGAGCAAATAGGGAAGGGTTTTTGCATCTATCTGCCAAGGGAAGAGAAGAGTATGTGAGAATTCTTGTGCTTTATTTTGGAATTTAAATGCCCAGAAACTTCTTCCTCTTAAGTAAATAATTTCACTTTATAAACATCAGCAATATGAACTTAAAAATGCTTTCAGCAGACTCTAGTAGTAAAATAACAATTCTTCAGCAAAAGATTTTTATAGGCAGCATTGTTTCAACCATTAGCTTTCATAAACTTGAGATTGCCATACCAATTGCCATTACTGCACCATATATGCATTAAATATACGAAGACAAGTGGAGTCTACCTGTGCCAGGTATGATATGTGAAACTTTGTCTAGTGTAACCCGGATATTGACAGTACTGTTTTTACTTTGGTCACAGTGTGGATGGGACAACTGGTTTGGTTTTCAAGAAAATTCTAACACTCCACTTAAGAGCAAAATTTAGTTTTCATGCTCAGTTGGCATTTGTGCCTCAGACATACATTGTAACAAATTTGCATCCGAGTTGCATGCTGCGTTTGAAAAAATACTGCATTTTTTGAACAACAACATTTTCTCGTCATTCTCTTTTGCAAAGTAACACTGAATTTGATCAGAAACTGTAGTTAGCTGATTGTGTCGGAGCCTTGTGCGGGTTTAAGTCATTCAGTCTATAGTAAAACTTGCCTGAGTTATTTTCAGGTAAATGTCCGATTAATTCTAAATTCCCTGTGGATTGGTGTAGCCCAGAGTTCTGTCTGTTTTAAAATAAATACATTTAAGAAAAAATTCTATGCTTCAATGGATTTTTCAGATAAGGACCGAAGCAAGTCCTTATAAATAGCAGAGTTCATAAACCGTGGGTAGGAGTCTCTGTGCATTAAGGTATAAATTTGAAGCTGTGCGTCATCGAAGGTGTGTTGTGAGGGTTCCAGCATATTTCGGTTAATAACTTCTCTTACTCTGGAGTCCAGACTGACCTGCGTATTAAAATAGAAAGTCACATAAATAGTAGCGGTGAATAGTACATGTGGGTTTTTAGGTTTGTTTTATTGGTTGAAAAAGCTGTCTTTTTAACCATTTCAGCTGGCGTCCTTCAAGAGTGTAAAAACTGCTGAATATACTTAGGCAGAAAATGACTGTGTTGAAATTTGGAAGTAGTAATACCTTGAGTATGGATAGAGAAATGTTCTCACAGAGGCGATGTGACTTTGAACAAGGCTGCCTGCAGTCCCAGTATTACTGAAACCTGGGAGACCGGCATACTATTTCCAGACCAGCTTCCTGCTCTGTAGTAGAGAGGATTTGTAATTTTTTGCGCCAGTTCATTTCCTTGGGAGTTAGTGCTGTCGTAAAGAGGCTGAATTTGGAGTAAGTAGTATGGCGCAGACAGAAACTGTAACCTGAGAAGCTGTCGCTGAATCAAATTCCTGTTAAAAAGTGGGTTGAATTGGTGTGAACCACAGGTATGGCTGTGTCGTGGTTCCATACAACATACAAGTAATGTGCCCTTTTTTTTCTGCAAGGCACTAGTGTCTGTAGAAAGAGGTTAGTATTACTGGAATAGACTGACTAGACTTAAACAGCATTTTTATGAGTACATAAATACAGCTTTGGCTACAAACAATTAAGTTTGAGTTTTGCAAGGATATTTGAAGGTTTAGAATTCCAGCCTACTTGGCAGGATTATATTCAAACTGAACTGAGGTGTCTTCAAAACTTGACATATTTGCTAACAGCAAAGTGACAAGTAGTTTTGAAAATTCTCAGGAAGTCAGTGTGCTTGTTCTATGCCATATTTTGTCAGCTGCTCTTTGAGTAATTTCTGCTTTGCAAATAACACTTCATTTATGGATACTGTGCTTTTGGAGAGACGCACACACCCCTTTCCTAGTGCAAAGAAAAAAGAAGCTGATTTGTCCAACAAATAAAATTTAAGTTGAGCCAGGATAAAGTGATCATCTGTATACTTGTGCCTCAGACTAAAGACTTCACATCAGCATGCCAGGGTAGGATAGGAAGAGCTTTCTTACAGCCAGTGAAAGTAGTTTTCATCATCTCGCCTCAACGAAGGGTCAGCCTTTTTCCCCTAAATCTCTACTTGATGGCAGTGGAATGTGGGGGGAAAAAAGTTCTCCCTGAGCATTGTAGCTTTAAACATGTTAGGACTAACTATGCAAAGCAGCATCAAAGAGTGTATTGGGGAAAGTAATATACCTCTTTTGGAGAAAGGATAGAAATATAATCTTCATAAATTAGTCTTGCTTTTTCTTCGATGACATTTTTGTTGGATTCTTGTTTTAGTTCCTCACAGGCCATCCAGAAAAGCATGTTCTCCTCGCTGAATTCTGTTCGCAGAAATTCCCGAAAAGCATTTCTGCCAGCTGGAGTAAGCATTAACTTGTCAAATGACTGAGCCCAGGCATTTACTTCTTCAAGAGTAGGAGCAGGGCTGGAGGAGGAAAGAGAGGGCAAGAAGAGCGAAATGAATGATTGTGACTCAAGCTGTTTGCAGCTGGCGGGAGGCATCTGCCGTCATGATGGAACAAAATTGCAAGGTTCATGGGGCTCTGATTCCTCACCGGAACTTCCCAGGTGCAAACTCTAGTAAACATATTTGTAAGATGCTATTTGAAAGTGTGCTTTATCAAAAGCTCAGATGCAGATGATTGCCAGCACCTTGATGCAGAAATTGCAGTTTACTGCTCAAAGTAATTACAACAAAGAAGTCCCTCTGCAACAGCTAAGCCTTTTCTCTATACCTAATAGTCCCTGTTGAATCGTTGTTAAAAACTGAATGAAAATATGTAGAAAGAAGCAATGATTCAAACACCATAAAAGGTACCCCCCTCCCGTCTGTTATAGTTTTACGAGTGCTCCTACCTGTTTGAGCAATTCTGAAGAGCCAGTTGCCTGACTCTTGGGAGGATCTGAGTTCCTCTTTATATTTACTGTTTTTGTAAGGCTGAGCACTGGCAGTTAACTTCATCACATAGTTGGCTGGTAGGAACAGGATGTATTTAAAAATTGTTTCAGAAAAAAGGGAGACTGTGTTTACAACGCTAGTTTTGATCTGCCGTGTTATGAAAGTGGGGATGTGGTTACATGCTGTGTATAAATAAGGTAAAGGATTATAGATCAGACCTTTTGTTTCTTAGGAAGTAAGAGAGAGATGACTGCAAATTCAGCATTAATGACAAATAGTAACAGTTATTTGCATATTTCAGGTAAGTCAATTATTTAGTGTGGTTTGTTGGATTTGTTTCATTTTAGCTTGACAGAACATTTAGTAAAGACCATACCTTTCCTCGCAGTTTGGAATACCCTCTGCTTGGAGTTCATGAGATGTTCTCCTTGCTCTCTCTTCGTCTTGATTTCTAACAGTAAGACTGCAAGGTAGCAAACAAAATTTTAGTTAACTTTATAAAGGAGAAGGCTGAACATACACCACATGCTTTTCCTATGATATTAAAAAAAGAAAAAAATCAGCTAGAAGGACAGAAGCTAACAGTAGCCACATTACCCACACTTACACTCTGACAGTTTTACGGTTGTATAAACCTGGCAGACTTCAATGTAGGTGAACATTGTTCAATATTGTGTCACATAGACTTTCTGTACAGGGATCATAGGTTCGTAGAATATCTCAAGTTGGAAGGGACCCATAAGGATCATTGAGTCCAATTCCTTATGTATATGTATGCATGAGTGTGCGTGTGTACATATATGGGATATGTATGTATACGTCCATGTATACACGAGTACCCTTTGTCTCATACCAAATCTATTCTCTGTTGATGCTTACTATACTGTGTATGCTTCATGCAATGTTTTTACTTAAGTTAGAATCGATGCACTGGTTTTATGTGAGTTAAATTTCAAGGTTGGTTGTTTCTGGTTTGGTTTTGGTTTTTTTCTCCTTGACTATTTTATATATCCATAGGGCACAATGATAGAGACTCTGGGTTAGAATTGTGATACCATGTTACAGGAAAGCCAGAATTCACAAGTTTTAAGCAAGCTAGGCCCTTCTGTATATGGTGTTGGAAGTGTAACCATCTTTCAGAGTGCAGATGTAGATGTAGCCAGATGATGTGTTAATTGATTGCAGCTTTAAGAAAGTGCTAGTATATGCTTCAAAATGTGAGGCCTGGAGCAGAAAGAGCAGATATATCTTGCTGAATATAGTTTTGAGTACGTCTGACTGGAAATGAGCATTACCTTGTTTCTAGCATTACAAAAAAAGTAAATGTTTGCTGCAATCACTAGTGATCCCTGAGAGAGAGTTTTTCATGTCTCATGGAAGGGCAGCTGTCAACTTCCTGCTGCTTTCAGCAAATGTTAATTTAAATAACTCTAGTTTTTAAAAATTCCTTTTGTAGTTGCAGATTATTATTTTTCATTTGAGACTGGATTTGAGAATATATTTGAGAATATAATTTTTTTTTTTTTAGGGAATGGGGACTATGTTCCAGTTCATACACTATCATAGTAGTGTATGCATACACACACATACATTCATATAATCTGTAAAGCTGCTTAAAATTTGTCAAGAAGAAAAGGCCCTGGTGAATTACATCCTGTAATTTATATGAAACGGGTCCTCCAGCTGATATAAAGCAATACAGTTGTTACAACTTCTAGGAAAAGATCAGACTTAATTTCTTCATTTGTATCTTACCTTTCTTTAATGCTAATGTTTTAACAGTTTTGTTGCCTTAATCCTTAAAAATCTCATTTATCTCTAGTAAGGCTTTTTTGTTCAACGAGTTGATTTTTCTGTCCTTTCCGCCTTCTAAACTCATGGCTTTGTCTGATTTGCAGCCTTACTATTTGCTGGTTACCTCCTTCTCTTGCTTTCTCTAGTCCATAATCTGCAGAGACCTGCTTTTCTCTTTGCCAAGGCAGTCCATGCACTGAAGAGGTAGGGAAGCTTGCCCGTTGCTAAGCTGGAGAGCAGTTATTGCAAACACATTTTTTTTTTCTGCAGCGTATGAACCATACGTTCAAACCAATGACCTATTTCAATTCACCTTTTTAGAAAAAAAAAGAAAGTAGTTAATGTTAGTTCTCTATTCTTTTAGGGTGTGTAGGTCTGAATCATTTACTACCCTTTTTACCACTGATTTCTGGCCTTTTTTTTAAATGAAAAGTGGTATAGTATGTATTCCTCACATGCAGACAAGAAGCGATACGCTTGTCAGAGTTATTTTTGGATTGAGGGGAACCAACAGATCCAACAGAAAGGATTACAGTCTTCATAAGATAATGCATGAAAGGGGAAAAAGACAAAAGCAGTAACAAAAGCTTGCCTAAAAGAACGTGCCATGCCTCAGAAAATGACTCGCAGGCAGGCTCTTT